TGTGAAATACATTTAGTAGCAACCCCTTATGTCACCAGCAGTTTCACGCCCCCCGTCGGAGCAATCGACTCTCAGGTCCCGAATGATAAAGATGGAAAATAGCAGTATTAACAAACAAACAAAACTGTACACGATTTAATAGAAAAGTTTTGTGTGCATCAATATAAAGCAGTACAGAACACACATGTACACAGACAGAACTCTAAAATGTTCAAGTTCTTCGAAGAGTTAGGATGAAAAAAAACAAAATTAGAAACCGTTAAATCACACGGGCGATCAGAACGAATCAGTTATATATGTATGTATATATATATATATAATATCACAGTATAATTCTTCCCGTCTGCGTGAGATGCAAAGTGACTCGAACTGAGAAACACCGACGTGTCGATTCCTCCGATGCAAAAATATATTCTCACGAGTCGCCCTGCTGCAGCTGACCGAGTCGCGCTGTTACTTGGTCCCATGTGTGTCAGAGCTCCTGACAGAAAAACACTCGTCAGCCGAGGTGGTGTTTACATCCTCCACCTGCAGGATGCTCTAACTCCAAACTTTCTTGGGAAAGAGAGAAAGAAAAAAAAAAACCCAGTGACACAGTGTTTTGCTCTACATGATGTGTTCGGGAGGAAGGGAGGCTGGGACCGATTCGGCCTGAAGGGAAACAAAGAGTTTTCCGATGAGCCCCGCAGAGCAGAGCAGCTGGAGGTGGTAAAGGTCTGATGATGCTTACCACAGTGTCAGGTGCACCTCCGCTTCCCAACCAGTAGCCCTAGCTAGCTTTTAAATGCCTGGAAAAACAAAACCTCAAAACAGCAAGAACTGATGTATTGGCACATACAGTGTACGATTTTCTGTTTGGTCATGCTGTTTATTGCAAATGAGGAGAATAAATGTGGTGGCGTGTGAGAGAGAGAAAAAAATAAATATGCAGAGTTTACGTGGACACATTTTTCACTTTTCAATCAACCCTCCAGACATGAAAGCAGTTGAGGAGAAAAACAGCAGAGAGATGGATTTCTTCTCTCTCCAAGTGGGGGGGAGAAGATTATAGAGACTTAAGAGCGAGGAAATAATTTGCGACAAGATTGCATATGTACACAACAAATTACAAATCACACTTCCTGTCTCGTGCAGGGAAACGCACGGCGCGCAAAAAAAGCTGCACGGAGCAAATCCAAAGCATTTCTAGTGAGCTAAAAAAAAAAAGCAAAGCAACTTTCCCCTGTGGCAAAAAGACTTCTACACAAAATGAGACATGACAGAAGAAATGTTTCACCTTTTAATAAGGGGTTGCACAAATGCATTTCAAGTGGATTCTCAATAAACTACACTCACGCTTGTGCTGAAACTCTCAGCGACAACATCGACACCGGCAAACGTCCAGTGTGCATTTGTGTGTGTCCTCGATGCATGTGTGTGTGTGTGTGTGTGTGTGTGTGTATTTCTTCCGTTACCACAGTGATGTCTATCCCAAACGTAGAGAGGGAACGGGATAGGCCGGGCCGACGATGGCTCTGAATTCTGTGTGCAATCACCGTTTTTAGAGCCCAGGTTCAAAAAAACGGGCAACAAAAAAACACAAATGTCTCGAAAGTTTGTTGGTTTTTTTTGTTTGTTTTTTTTGTTTTTTGTTTTTTTTTTAACAAGGATTCGCTGCTTAAAAATGAAAAGATCACAATATACTGCCTCTATATGCAAATATCATCTCTGTATACATGTAATATTGTATTACATAAATGTGTAGATAATTGAATTTATCTCAAAAAGCATGAAGAATAGCTTACCTTAAAAAGAGAGAATCTAACACAATTCAAGGGAAACTTAGCAAAGACTCCTAAAACTAAACTTTCCCCCTGTTTTTTTTAAAATCACCAAACGTCTACACCTACAGTAAATTATCCTCGATTTCCAACACTTTAGTGAAAGTAAGAAAAGAAAGCATAATTCTTAACATAATCAGTATACTGATTGGTAAACTATCATAATTAAGTAAACATGAGATCCAAAGGAAAAAAGAGGTTCAATTATATCACTTATGATTAGTAATATTTGTGTTCTTAACTATATTTTTGCATATTTTTGTTCACGTGTTTTTTTAAATGTTTTTATGAGTTTTTATCGTCGTTTTGTTTATTTCTTAAATTGCTGTAAAACATATTGAAAGTTACATCCTGTCTGTCTGTTTACTGTACAAAGTGAAAACATTTCTTTAAATATATTCTATTTACAAGGAAAAGATTGAACATACTGATGCTGACACTGATTGATGCCCACTCCTCCAAAGTCCTTCCCCTTCTTCTCTGAAAGTCTTATTTCCTTGTCACATCCTAAGTGTCTCCTTTTCTTGTAACATCTCGCTGATAATGGTTGACCTGAACTTTCAAAAAAGTGTGCGTATAAAAATTCCAGAGATCCCAATCTATTTATTAGGAGAGTCGTGGGTGGAAGTGGGGTCAGGTGGGGGTCGGGTGGGGAGGAAGAGGAAGAGGGTCTGGGGATGAATCTGATTTAAGGCTAACTCGATCGGTCTCGCTTTGTTATCTGTGGAGCGAGTGGAGGAGGAGGAGGAGGAGGAGGAGGAGGAGAGGTTGTTGAATTTATGAATAGTTATCAGCGGTGTTAGCGGGAAAGAGGAGGGAAGAAAAAAAAAAAACAGCTGTTATCACTCAATTGTGATTTCTCTCCACAGACATTTAGATCGGGGAGGAGGTGGTGGTGGTGGTGGGGTTTAAAGATAGTGAGCGATCTACACACTCAGCGGCTCCCGTCGTCTCCCACAGCCCTTGAACTTGCGACACCAAACTAATCGAAGATCAAACCTTTAAATAACCGGTAGAGGCTTCTTCTTCTTCTTCTTCTTCGTCTGTACAGTAACGCGATGAGTCATCATCAGACAGCTCTGAGGGGGTGGTGGTGGTGGTGGTGGTGGTGTTAGGGGGGTAATGGGATGATAAGGCATGTCTACTGAGTGCCTGAACCTACACTGAGTAAAAAGTCCTGTGCAATAAATGAGGCCTCTTCAGCTAAAAAGACTATCTACATCAGTCAAAGTAAAAAGCAATCGTCTTTTCTTTGCTTTTCTGCAAGATGGCCGCCTTCAAGAAGCCTCTCTCAAATCCTCCTCAGCTCCAGCTTTTGTCATTGTCGTGGGGGCAACAACGCTTTTTTTTTTCTTTTTTGTCGGCGATCCGCAAACGACAGTGCATATATTAATTATACACAATGTCCGGACGAAGCTTCCCGCGCGAGCCTCTCGGTGAAAAGTAATGCCTTCGACGAGATACTAGTGAGAGGCCGAAAAAAGTAAGTGCCTGGTGACTGTTGTTATGTAACCTGAATAAAAGAAGTGGTCTAAAGGCTGCCATGTTGTGAATTGAGACGCTATCGGTCTATCCGTAACAACGGGACATCCTGAATACAATTGGTTCATAAAACACCGCCCACAACTTTACATATGAAACTTTTTTTTTGTTTTTTTTTTACGAAGTTATAAAAGATCTTAAACGGCATCTTGTATCTAAACCATCAGCAGCAGCAGCAGCAGCAGCAGCAGCAGCGTCTCCACCCTGCTGTAAAAAAATTTTATTTCTTTTTTACTGCAGTTTTGGCTCATAAATGTGACGCGAAGCAGCCCCGGTCCTTCCTGGTTTTGCCGCCGCGTGAGAGGACCGCTTGTGAACTGGAGGACACTTTCCACCGGAGACCATTAAGGCACGTCCTTCCTCTCAGTATCTTCAGCTTCTGACGAAACATTGTTGTTCACAGTAACACAAGTTCAGACCGACAAAAAAAAAGAAACCCAAAACAACAACAAAAAAAAACTGTTTAAGTGTGTTTAAGTGTGTGTGCACTTGATTTGTGTAAATGTCTCAAATAAGGATCTGTCAGCTCCAAAACGTGTCTCCCAGATCCTGCTTTTCCCCACAAGGAGCAAATAAACGTATGAGCATGGAGTAAAATATTCTACAGAAAACAGAAGAACAGGAGTCAGTCTTTCTGGCTTGTTGGTTGAACTAAGAACAACCCTTCAGCTGCCACCAGGGGCAGACAGAATACAACTACAGGTACTAAAACAGTAGTGAAATATTATACCAACGGAACACAAAACAAGAAAAAACTTAGTGATATCATAAGCAGTGTTATCATAATCAGCACTAACATCTTTGTTATTCACAACGTTATCAGTATTATTGTTGTTCTTATACCCTGTTTTTTCTATAAGAATATCTTATTATCATTCATGATTGTATTTCTCATAGCAAACAAGATCAGCTCTTTTGGCATCGGGAGAGGGGGGGAGGGGGGATGAGGAGGAGGAGGAGGAGGAGGAGGAGGAAGAGGAGGAGAGAAAGAGGAGAGAGAGAGAGAGAGGGGGGGAACAGAAGAGAGATGGCCGGGCCGGGCCGCCTCCGTCCAGACAGAGAGAAGCACCAGTCCTCTCCTGTGTCTCCGGTAAACGTGGCAAAGTCTACTTTGTGCGGCGACACAGGGGCAGATGGGCAGTTCGCTCCCGCCTCCGCCCTCGCCGTCCTTCCTCGCCGGCGCTCAGCGGGAGCCTTCAGACGAGGCGTCGCCCCGCGTCGGCCGAGCGGCGCCGACGTCCGGATGAAGTGATGGACTTGAGCGCTTGTCGTGAGGTCGAGGGGAATGTTGATTGAATATGTTTGGACATAAAAGTAGCTTTGGCCATGTTTGAGAGCGGGTTGACGTCCCACTCCTCCTCGGGGTCTCCTGATTTTTTTGTTACCCATATTCTCTTGCGATAAACTCTTATTTTCATCTTTCAGCGTCTCTACCTTTCAGTCATTTCCTCCTTTTTTTTGTTTCTCCCCTCTTTCCTCTCACCTCTCTGTCGGTATGGGCTAAGGTTTCAGTGTGTCTACAGTGTCTTTAGAATCATCCCTGATCTCCTAACACTAGATGCCTCTATTGCTCTCCTCCTCCTCCTCCTCCTCCTCCTCCCCTGCCATCGTCCACTCCTCCTCCCCCCTGTCTGTCTTTCACACATCAGACTCAATGCTGGAGAGTTTCTCGTACACATGGCCATTGCTTCCGTTGAAGGGACGCGGGGGGCCGACCCCCAGCATGGAGCCGTGGTGGTTCAGCCCACCCAGGCTGAGCTCTTTCGGGAACCGGGGGGTCACGTTGGACATCACCCCGGCCGTGGCAGACGCTGGCAGATATGACGTTGCGCTCAACTGGCTCCTGAAGTCACTTCGGCTGTTTTTGGCAACTTGTTGCTGCTGCTGTTGCTTTTTCATGTAATATTGTTTGGCTCCGTGCATCAGACACTGGTCGTCGCCAAAGGTGGGTATAAAGGGGTTTTGGTTTACCCGGTCGGGGTAAAGAGATTTGGATAAAGAGAAAGCTGCCCCACCTCCTCCTTCCATCAGAGACCTGTCCCTGTCTCTCATGTCTCTCTCTCCGATGGAGCGGCGGTGGAGGCCTTCGCCACCGCGGAACAGGCCAAACGGTGAGCCGGGTCCTTTCCGGCTGTCGCCTCCATAAAACAGCGGGTCCCTGTCCCGGTCCCGCTCTGAGCCCCCGTGACGTTCAAATATGTGTGCGAAGGGGCTGCTGCCTTCCATGTAGCGCTCTTTCTCCTTCAAGCTTACACTCCTGGGTGGGGGCAGCATCCCCATACCTGCCCCGCTCATCCCTCCTCCTAAACCTCCCATCAAACTTCCCATCCCGCCTGATTCCTCCTTCTGAAGGTCAACAAATGTGTCGTACGAGTGCTGCCGCCTCAGTGGCTTGCCGAATCCTCCGCTCTTCCTCCGTTGCTGGGCCTGAGATTGAGACTGAGGGCCTGCGCCCATACCTCCTCCCCCCACGCTTTGCCCGCCCCCCATCTGTTCCAAGAGGTGGTTATTGTCCTCGCTGATATCGTACAGGTTTCCTGTCTTTTTACAACCTTCACAGCGCATGCAGGTGGCAGAGCTGGGGCGGCTGTTTCCGCCTTGCGAGGACCCACAGCTCATACCACCGTACCCACTGCCTCCTCCGTGGATGGACATCTGCTTGCCCCCTGCTCCCCCGCTAGCCCGACAGTTCCTGCACTCCCACTCTCCTCCTGCCAACCCAGATCCTCCCCCGCTCTTTGAATCAGCCTTTTTGGGTTTGCTCTTTAGAAAGTCATCCACTGGTACCAGGGAGGTGCAGGTGGCCACGCCTCCGTCTCTGCTCCCAGGACCCTCCGTCAAGTCCACATGTTCCCACTGAGGGACGCCCTCTTTGGGCCGAAACTGGTCCAAATAAAAATCCCTAACGCTCTCCTTTTCTCTGAAAAGATAAGAGTTCCCGTCGTTGTTCCCTCCTCCGCCTCCTCCGCCACCTCTTTTGCGTTCAGAGGGCAAAAGCGGTGGGGAGGCGGAGCGGTGGCCGTGGTAGTGGTGGTGGCTGATGTGGTAGGGTTTCCTCCTGTAGCCCAGCTCGATCTCATCCAGCTCCCGTCTGGACTTGGCAGAGGCCGGCCTCTTTTTCAGGCTATCGCGGTATTGTTTGCGCTTCTTGGCATTACCCTCCAGGTTACCGTAAGTTACTGTGTGCGTGGAAATGTCCGAAACATCTGAACGTATATTCCCATCGTCGTCTCCTCTCCCTCCGCAGTAGCCTTGTCCGGGGATGTAGGTGGAACTGGAGGCACCTCCCTTGAAGGAGAACTTCCCGTACAGGTCGGGCAGGCCTCCCTTGAAGCTCTGACCCGACGGAGGAGTCTGTCCAGACAGCAGGTCAAACTTGCTCATGTTCCTGTGGGTCAGTGCTGAGCAGGGCTGGGTGGTAAAAATAGGGGCCACCCCTCCACCCAGGCTGTCACAGTCGAACATGCCGCCCTCCAGGGAACTAGCACTTCCCAAACTTTGGGGCCTGTTGGGAGGAGGTCCGCTGAGCCCTAGCGTGGAGCCGTGGTGGTGTAGGTAGTGGTCCTGGTACAAATTACTGTCCTTGAGGTGGAGGTTGCCAAACGTCCTCTCCACCTCACTGATGTAGTCGCTAAACATGTTATCTTCGGGCAGATACGGTGGTTTGCAGTCTGAGTGGCCTGCCAAGCTGCGTCGGTGTTCTGAGATGTCATAAACAGACGATTCGCGGCGGATGAAGTCCAGAGCGCTGTGCGGTGAGCCGTTCACTCCCGACAGGGAGGCCATGTTCTTGGCAGTGCGTAAGAGGCGCATGATGTTGGAATGGGTGTTGTTCATGGTGGCTGATGGGGAGTTCAGTGCAGAGCTGCTCTTCTCTTCGATCTGCACCCCGTGAATGCAGCTGTAGATACCCTGTGTGGGAGAAATACAAACCAGAGTGAGCGTTTGTTTTTCACCATTATTGCATCCTAGCGCATGTCTACGCAGGTGTTTCAGCTTCTCAGCCGTCCATCTCGCACACATCTGACAGAGCAGATACTCTGTGATTTTAATCAATCCAGCTGTCTCCACAGGCTGCGTGACAGCTTGCATCGCAAACACAAATGCCACCCGAAGCATATTTTTACACTTCAAGTTTATTTATGTGTACGTACAGTGATTGTGTGTTGGGCGCTGAGCACTTTCAGAATGTGGGTGACCTACACTCGGTCGTCTGTCTGAACACATCCCGTGTAGCCGGAGACAGAGGACCGAAGCTGCTTCTGCTTCTGCTCAGCTAACGTCCTGCTTTTGTTACGCCCGCTGTGTGGACATGATGTGAGCTGACACGAGCATTAGGGCCAGTTCACGGTCTCCGTATGACCGACGGACACAGTTCTAGTCATGCTACTACTGCAGGTACACGTTGGTCAGCTGCAGACAGTCACCTTGTATGAAAGAGGAAAACACACAAAGGGATGTTTGAGAAAGGCTGCACCTTCTTCCTGGATACAGCAGCGAGTTACAGTTTGTTGCTGTGACAATGTGATTATTGCTGAGGTGTCCAGTGGGTGGACACAGCGCAGGATCTAAACATCTCCAAAGTCCGACTTTAAGCAGAACTCTTGTCATGATGAATGTGGATGGTGCAGAATGACCTCCGCAGTCTCTCCTCAAAACAAGCATTTGTTTTAAGCACCATTTGTTTTCTTGGCAAACTCCGGGCTGCACGCAGACGCCCGGCAAATGTTGAAATTTATGTCGCGTGCGCCTTAAAGCTGCAGCTCTAATTCGGCAACTAGTATGTTTGAACGCATGTAGCTCCATATGGGGAGAGAGAACGTTTAGAAACACGGCGTCTAAATTAACTTTCAATTAGGAAACACGGAGTTCTATTAAAGTTATTATGCTGCATAAAACACAGATTGAATTTTTTCAAGCTAGGAAACTGGGAACAGCTGTTTGCGTGGATGCTATCAATACCTGGCGGCGCGCATGAAGGGAAAACAGAGGTGCATTTATAGACATGTGGTGTGTTCACTGCTGCCAGATAAAGCGAGACAGTGAGAGCGAACAAACAGTGTGAAGATTTAGAGGAGATAGCGCGGCTCGACGGTGGATGATTGATACGGGCGGAGGGGCTGTAAAAACCCCTCGGACCCACCGGTCAATACGCCTAATCAATGTGATTAGAATTCAGCTGAACAATATCCTTCGGCGGTTATTAAACACCTCAGTCCCTCAAAAACCCCTCTCCACGCCGCCGGCCACAGCGCCGCCACAGAGGAAGGCCGAGCCAAGGAGACGCTCGCCGGGTCTGGCGGTGACAGAAAGATAAACGGCTCCATTTGCATGCAGTGATGTACAAAACGATATTCAGATAAAAATGGATGTACGGGGGATAGCAAACCAGGCATGACAGATGGGGACGGAAAAGGATCAGATCAATTCCCGGCAATGATTTTACTCAGTTTTTCTACGGAGACGGCAGTGAAGGAACGCTTCAGGTAAAGATCGAACATCTGCCGACCTCTGTCCCGGTCAGAGGTCAGGACCAGAGGTTAGGGGTCCGTCAGATCCTCTCCACGACTCGTCTCCACCTCCACTAATGTGACTAGTTGACCTCAGTCGTCCCTCCCATCGCCGCTTGTTAATTAGCTGCATGGGCCGCGCCTGCACTGCAGCAAACAGGCCTCATCCCTCATCCTGGTTTTATAGATAATGTTATTACTTCTTTTAATTTCACAGTCTGTTAACGGCCAAGTATGTAAAGCCTGACAGTGGCTAAAACCAAGAGAGGTTACCATAAATACGAAATGACTCAACGGGATCCGAGGAAGACGGGACCTGGATGGATGAAGTGGATGTATACACCCACCTTTCAGGGGCTTTTTTTTCTACTTAGAACCATCTTTCAATGTTTATCTGCTTCTTCTCCATCTCATCTGTGTTTCTCTTTTCCATCTGCCTGTTTATATAATTTGTCATCACTTCATCCCTTTTTGTTTTTCTTCTTTTATTGTTCTGCTTACACCCCACCTGCTGCTGAATCTGTCACGTCCACCACATCGACTAAATCGTCCCACTTTGGGCTAAATTTGACTGAAATATTTACCTCGATCTTCCCCCGATAGGTGTTGATCTCTATGTGTGTTGCATTCAGCGACTGCGCAGCATGACGGCGAGGTCTGGATGAAAATCTGTGAGTTTTTCCAAGTTCTTAAATGCACAAGCGAGAAGTTAACATCGGTCGAGCCTGAAATCTTGGTCTTTGAATGAGTGATTGCCGCCTCGTATTCAGCAGCAGCAGCATTTGTCGACTCTGCAGCGTAACAGCTGGCGGATTGCTGCCGGACCGGAGCAACAGCAGCTGATTATTTGGGCAGCTTGTGTGAATAGAAATAACTGTAGCCGGAGGGTTTCTGAGAATTTTCAATCCACCGAGGCATCGCGGCAAAATCTATAAGTGATTACACTGATACAGGGAGGCAGGAAATCAACAAATAACTCGCTGTTCCCCGCCGCACACGTGTAGCAGCTCATAAACGAACGGCGTCAGCGTGCGGTGTGAAATGTAAAGGAACTTAGCCGTAACGCGACGCCGGGGCCGTGAAAAGCGCAGCGATTAAACCCCTAATACATTTACTGTTCCGAAGTCATTAGAGGCTTTTTAAATCAATATAATTAATTTGTTTCGGTGTTGCAGGTGGGGCCTGGAGGAGCAGGTAGCCAGGGGAGAGCCGCCGAGGGAGGAAACGCTAACCAACCGTGAAGCTATGACCGGAGTCACGTGACTCACGCCGACCGTGACAGATGTCTCATTTTTTACACCGCCGAGCTTAAATGTTAATTGCGGCAATAACAATAAGGTTTTATTGGATTATGGTGTGAAATTAAAAAAGCGGAATCAATCTGAGTGGCAGAGCCCGAAAGAAAGAGAAAAAAAAGAAGAAAAGAAAAAGGGAAGAAACGTCCACGGCTGCAGAGAAAACACTCGAGTAAATGAGGAGGAGACGATGTGATGCTCAGGCCGAGGACCGCGACAATAAACAGTAATTTCCACCGTTGTTCTACAATCCTCGTGCTCGGCGCTACATATGCAAATACGCTCGATGAATGTTTCCTCTGAATATTTTAACATACTGAATCATCGGGCTGCATCGGTGGACACACAACGCCTTCATTTGTTTTGTCACATTGCAGCAAAGGCGGAGGTAATTTCTGTAAATGAGAGCGATTACTGGATGTTACATAAAGCTTCGCTGGCCTCGAACAGGCCGCTTCGACGGCAGACATTTTGACTCAGGTGTGCTAATGATAGCTCAGGTCCACTAAAGCCCATCTCATTGCTGCTCCTTCAGTCTGTCGGTCAGATACAGCCATAGGTGATGCAATGTTAGTCAATACAATCCTCAATGATGCAGCGATGAACAAAAACTAAATCTAAACTAATCGCAAGTTTATCAACACTGAGGTCTGATAATATTATTTGTAGATTTAATGCAGTTATTCAGATTATTCAGGCGATCAACTGTGATGTAAGGAAGTCTCAGTTTCTTCAGATGTGGTGCGTCGGTACAGTCTGACTCGTACCTGTTTTTTTTTCCAGCATGCCGTCTTAACGGGGATTTGCTGATTGACTCACACATTTCAAACAGTCCAAATCCCAACCGCTGATTCTGTGTCCTCACCTGTCTGATGTGAGCTACACAGTCTGATGTGCCTTTTAAATGCAGTCTATGTGTCTACGGTGGCCGACGGCAGGGAAATGACGTGCATGTTCACTAACGAGCTGCGGATACATGAAGCGTTGCATAAACAGAAACAGAAAGAAAACGCTGCATATACAGCCACAGGCCTCTAGGGGCAGTAGTGAGCGTTTCACCTCAGAGGCAGACAGCGAGCAAGACATGAGTTGAGGGAAAAGCTGCATGAAAAGGTTTGTATTCTCTGGACAAACATAAATAACAGAGAACACAGGGAGATAAAACACAGCTTCAGCACCTAAATAATCACAGTGACTGGAAAGCTAAAGACCTAAAAACTGCCCCTAGAGGCCTGTGGCCCCTCCGCCATGTGACTGGATATGCAGCGTTTTCCTTTTGCAGCATGTTTCTGTTCATTCACGTCATTCGCCTCCGTCGGCCACCGTACATTTCTTTGGAGCCCCTCGTTGAGATCCTGCAGCTTCTTAATAAACTCAGAGGGAAAGACTCTACAAACAGCAGGAAGCGACAAACTAAAGCTCCTGCAAAGGTTTTCTCTAAACTGTGAAACTGTGAAGACGATAAAGGACGGATTTTGGTGAAGGTGCAGATGGTTTGAGAGAGGGGTGAAAGAAGCCATCTACTACAAAGACCATCCCTCAACAGAGGTGGAGGTCTGAGGCGTCACCTCTCTCCTGTTTACAATCAAGATCTCTCCCCTGGAAGATGAACCCACATCCACACCTAGCCACAAAAGACCTTAACGAACCCCATTGTGTCAGGGGGAGCACTAACGAGTCACATAACGAGGGGGAGGAGCAACAAACTCAGGTGTTAATAACTCCTTAAGGGTATCTGGAACTCCCAACTAGTCAGTCAGAGCTGATGAAGTCTCTTGGATGAGAGGTGGAACGTCTTCAAGGAACTCAAGCAGTTGCTACGATTCATCTACGAGAATAACCACGACCTGGATGACTGAGAACCTTCACAGACACGTTTTCTCAAAACCTGGACTACTTTCTTTATATAGTCTCCTTAATCTGATACACAAAACATGTCTTCATCACAGCAAACGTTCATTCTTCAGGACGTTTCTATTTGTACGAAGCAAAGTGAACGAGGAAGGTGTTTTGCTCTCCGTGATGTTTTTGGCTTCACAGAATTCGAAGTATTCCACTTCTGCTTGTCCGTTAATGCGGCTGCATGCGGCTCAGACTCGTGTTGTAAGTAAAACAGAACTTTTACGAGGCCCAGCGAGGTGTTCTCATATTCAGATATGAAGCCGAAGCATTTAAGAAGAATTCATGTCTGAAGGGGGGCCGGTAAGTCGTGACAGTAAACCAGCACCAAAGCAGGACCGACCTTCAGCAGCCATCATTAATACATCTATTATAACCAAAACCAATCACTGTGGTAATGAGAAGTCAGCTGACATTTGAGCAACAAGTACTTTATGCTCCAGAAGCAGACACGTGACCACAAACGAGGCGGCAAAGACGCAGAATTAACGCCGTACAAAACAATCAGATCCGTGCAGTGGAGCGTTATATTACAACACAAGAGAAAATGTTGTGTGTTTTTTTTTCTCACTGCTTTCTTGGCACCAGCAGCGCCGGCACCACGGCAGCATATCGAATGGAGGGAGAGTGCAGCAGTGTGCGGCTGGCGTGCTGTAAATTAGCCACGTGGTTTCGCCTGCAGCGGTTCACCTTCAGAGGCGCACAGTGAATTACACCGGAGCCATGTCAAAACAATTGGAATGCAAATCAAATACCTCGGGGGTGACTTTGGTCTCCCGGGATCCAGTAATCTACCCTCTCCGGTTCTGTGGCTGATTTTTTGTTGAGTGAAATATTGATTTCAGCTCAACATTTTGTAAATATTTACCTCGTGGGCCTCAGAAAGGCTGAAGTGTTAAAACAAAAGGAGGCTGTGAGAGTTTAGGAGGCAGAGGTTCGGTTACGTAGGATGTATGTTCCTTTATTAGAAAGAACAAACTGCCTTCATCTGAGAGACATTAGGGACG